AACTGAACAGGTTTATTGTGAATGATCACTTTACAAAATTAAAAGAAATCCTTCTGGAACTAGGTATTATGGAGAGACCAGAAAGAATTTTCAATATTGATGAAAAAGGATGTACGCTAAACTTACACCATCAGCAAAGTGTGTTGGCAAAAAAAGGGGCCAAACGAGTTCACCTAGTAGCTCCAGAACACGGAGAAAACGTAACAATTGTGTCCTGTGGCAATGCCTTGGGTAATGCCATCCCACAGGCAATCTTATTCAAAGGTATAGGAATGAAACCAGAATGGCAAGATCCATTACCACCAGGAACACTAGTCCTTATGACTCCTAAAGGCAGCATGAATATTGTAACATTTTGCACCTAGATTGAGCATTTGGCTAAGCATAAGCCTCCAGGAAAATGTCTATTGATTTTTGATGGTGCTAAATGCCACCTGGACTATACGATTGTACATGTTGCAGAAAAAAATGACATCGTACTTTATTGCTTACCGAGCAACACTACACATGAGTTACAGCCAATGGACAATGCGGTCTTTCGTTCTTTTGAACACCACTGGGATGATCAAGTACTCCAGTATTGGGTAAGATACAAAGATCGGAACCTCACAAAACAGCGGTTTGGTGAAATTTTTAGTAAAGTGTGGGAAAAAAGTGCAACGCCAGCAAATATAAAAGCAGGCTTCGCCGCAACTGGTATTTTTCCATTCAATCCCGAAGCAATAGGGGAATTGGCATACGCTCCTAGTGAAGTTACACAAATAAGAGATGAACTAGAGGACCCCATCGTCCAGCCCACCATAGCAGCATCTCCTGTAGCAGGGCCATCAAATATCCGAAAAAGGCCAAGAACTCCAAGTAGCTCTTCTCATAACGACACCTCGGGTGAAGAAAACGTGCCTCCAGTTCTGATGGATAGCTCGGATTCAGACGACGAAATGTTCTCATCTAATCAACTTCTGCACAAGTCAATAACAGAAATGTTGGAAACCCCGGATAAAGTTGTGAAATCAGTAAAAAATATGAGGCAGAAGGCTATAAACAGTCGAGCTCTTGTAGTGAAACGAGCAGTTTTTAACAAAAACAATCCAGGTACATCTAATGTTGAGTCAGCACTCAAAGCTACAACAATACCTAAAGCCATGTCAAGATCTGAAGCTATAATACCTAAAGCTACGTTAACAACTAAAGCGGCAAAATCTAAAGAAACGAGAAAAAAAATTACCTCAAGCAAAGTAAATGAGCAAGATTGGTATTGTGCAGTTTGTGAGTTAAATGAAATCGCTGATATGCGCCTGTGCTTCGTCTGTCAGAAGTATGTTCATGAGGATTGCGTAGGTTTAACCAAAGAAATGAAAGAAAGATTTATTTGCCCATTATGAGAATAAAATGCAGTTTTTTTATTTTCTTTTATAATGTATACTAAGTTTAAAATAAACGTGTACTTATTTCACTTTTCTCATAATTTCAGGCATTTCCATACTTGGCCGTATTACCAACACCGTGTTGGTAATATGCTCATATACACATATTTTTAAACATTCGGTGAAAAATATTCCAAATAAATTTTTTGTGACAACGATTTTTTTGTAGTTTCTAAGTATATTGAACTCTATCATGCAATAATTGGCGTTTCTTATTATTCAACTTAACGCACAAATGAAAATAAATTGCTTAAGGTGGGCATATTGTATTCAATTACCTTATATATATGTATGTATATATATGTATGTGTATGGATATATATGTATATGTAATGAATTTTCTTAACCCTTTCGCGTCTAATGGGTCATATATGTCCCATATGAAAGTCCAAAAATTCTAGAGGGAAAATTTACTATTTAAAATACGTTTAAATATGTCCCACTCGAATTCATCGTTACTGCGAACATTTTCCCGCCAAGAATCTTCATGCCGCGGCTCTCAGTCGATCGTTAGCAGCCGACAAGTGCACGTGGTTCTACATTCAGACCCTATTTTTTGCGGTTTCTATGTTATAATAGTTGTTTCTATGTCTACAATATGAGCAGGTAAGTTACTTTAGATATTGTAATAATTTGAACTCGTTGTAATTTGTATCTAAAGTATTTTAGTCGTTAGTTTTTGACTATGGGATATATTTATCCCTCCAGCATGCTTGCATGGGACATATTCGTCCCTCTCGAATAATAACTTCTGTTCGTTTCAGAAGGAGACCTTTGACGAAAGAAGAGTTACAGTGGGAAGCTGATCACGTGTGGGATGAGTCTGAAGATGAGGAGCCATTCCAGGATAGCGGGTCAGAGTATAATCCGTCGGAAAGGGAATCATCCGAATCTGAGGTGGAGACAAACTATTTTTCGGACATCGATGAAAATGGAGAGGAAAGTAACGTAACCAATAACGATGGTATACCCGATAATACACAAAATCACAACGTTCCAAATCCAAGAACCCCTAATCAACTTTCTTGGAGAGTTCCAAACGATAATTATATTCCTCGAAAAGCACTTCCTCCTAGCAATAATTCCCCAGCTACTGTTTTGGCAGCAGTAAATCGGTCTTCCAGTCAACTAGAAGTGTTTCTAAAATTGTTTCCAAGGAGTCTGTTTATGTTTATATCCCAGTCTACCAATGAACGATTGAATATTTTGAATAAAACAAAGCACGCCAAAATCGATCATACCGATCCATCTGAAATGATGATAGTTATAGGTAGTTTGCTTGTGATGAGCTATAACAGAGTTCCTAATATGCAGTTATATTGGTCAACAAATAAATCAATGGGAAATGAAGCCCTAAAGTTAGCAATCTCAAGGGACCGGTTTTTGGTACTTCTTTCAAAACTATATTTCAATAACCCTTCCAAGCCGCCAGATGCTAAAAAGACATACTATATCGACGAAGTTGTGTCTTGTCTGAAAAAGACTTTCATTGCGAGTCGTTCCGATAGTAGCTATCAATCGATAGATGAAAGCATTGCTAAATTCAAGGGCCGTTCGGCTCTGAAGCAATATATGCCCCTGAAGCCGATCAAAAGGGGCATAAAGATATGGCAAAGGTGTGATGCTTTGACAGGTTATGTTTATGATCTTAATATTTATGCTGGGAAAGAAACTGAGCAAGTGGAAGGAACTCTAGGAGAGAGAGTAGTGGCAAAGTTATGTGATACAATTCAAAACGCCAATGTTGCTTTATGCTTTGATAGATTTTTCACTTCGGTGAATCTAATGACAAATATACAGTTTCCTGCATTTGGTACATGTAACAGTAATAGAAAAAGTTTACCAGATTTTGGAAAAAAACTAAAAGAACGAGGTGCAATGGAAGTGTATTGTAGTGATACTGGTTTACTTGCAACTAAATGGAAAGATACCAAAGAAGTGATTTTGCTCAGTAATTGCCATACATCTAAAGTGAGCCAAGTAGATAGAAAAAAAAAAGGATGGTTCTAAAGCTAGCATTCCATGCCCAGATGTTGTGTTATTCTACAACAAACATATGGGAGGTGTCGATCTGGCAGATCAACTTGCAAGCCTATATGACATTGACAGGAAATCAAATAAGTGGTGGAAGAAAGTTTTTTATAAACTACTGTTAACTAGTGTTGTCAACGCCTGGGTATTATATCAAGATGTCCATCATAAAAGACTTCCACTTCTACAGTTTATTGTGCCCTTAGCTGAGCAACTTATTAGCTTTGGACGCCAAAACGCTTCTATCATACGACGCCGCTGCTATGGAAGACCATCTCAAACGTCAATGTCTCTACAAAATGTTGGAGAGCATCTACCTGTTGAAGGAACGACACGTCGTAGATGTCATAACTGTCATAAAAAGAAAAAAGAGAAAAGAACGAAGATAATGTGTTCCCAGTGCAACGTGGCATTATGTATGAACTGTTTCTCATCATTCCATAGATAAAAATAACAAAACAGGATTTTTTTGTGTTTGCGAATAAAATTTCTTTATTATTTATAAAAAATATATTTATTTTCCTTGTACCTAGTGGGACAAATATGTCCAATAATAATCCTAGAGGGACATATATGTCCCATCGCCATTTTACAAAAAAAAAAAACAAAATCTAAAAATCTGAATACAGTACAGACCAGTTTTAAATAAGTCAATAAGTACAGCAAATATTAAAGAACGTTAAATTTATAAAGAAAAAAAGGTCGACGTGAAAGGGTTAAATATTGAGCTAAAATAAGTGAATCTCATTTAATTTCACGAGCGTTATACCTTAGAGGTGTAATAACGAGTAACAACAATGTACCAGCTTTGTAATATTAAAAATTGCCTTTTACTTTGAACATCTACATGGTAATAATTATATCAAGGACAAGCGAAGGAAAATTTAAAGATTAATCGACTTACCTGAAGGAAGATTAATCATAATTTGCCGAGCTTATCCGAAGATATAATTACCCAACCCACCGATATATACCCCAAAAGGTAGGCAATTTTTTTCAGGCACTCCAACGGAATGACTGGGCATGTAATGGTACAAGTCCGGCCGCTGGAGGGGGGAGGGAACACTAGATGTTTTGAAACGTAAATAGTTCGTGCTGATGAGTAGGTTTATTCGGAAACTACATGGTAATAATTATATCTTCGGAGAAGCTCGGAAAATTATGATTAATCTTCCTTCAGGTAAGTCGATTAATCTTTAAATTTTATTGCCGTGGCAAATGCCCCGATTACCCGCCCTAAGGTATATGCTCTTAAAGGCGCTCTACACTTAGCCCGCGGATCGCGCGCGAAGGCCGCGACATGGCGCGAACGCTAAGCCCGCTTTTATGCACGCGTTTTTTGTCGCCTGTCGCGTGGCGACAAAAAACGCGTCGTTTTCTCAACGCATTGTCTTGTATGTAGCCATTTATGCATCAACGACGGTGAGCCGCTCGATGCCCGTGTCGCGGCGTTCTCAAATTTGGTCGCCTGGAATTTGAGAACGCGTGGCGACAGGCGTTGAATGGAATTTACGCTTTTATTCAACGCGTTTATTGTCGCTGATGCTATGATAGGAACTCATTCTCAGTTGGTGGGTGTTGTCTAAAGACTGAAGACGTGTGCTACAATGGAACATCTGGATGTCGAACTATTCATCGACGCAATAGAAAAACGACCATCTTTGTGGGATTCATCGTCAGGAGACTACAAAAACAGACAGCTTAAAAGAGACGATTGGAAGGAAGTGTGCGAAATTGTTATCCAAAAATTTGGGGAAAAAGATGAAAAAGAAAGGCAGGAAATTGGTAAGCATTTCATGTTAATTACTTTAATACATACACTTACTATTTTGTTTAAATCATATGTTGGTGTTTTGCCATGGCACAGCCCCTGCTGGACTGCTAAAATAGTCAGCGGAAGCATCTCTGTATTTGTAAGCAGACTTACGTCCACGTCCTTCTGGTTCTGCTCTATCATTATCATGCAGCCCTGTTATTGTCAAAGTATCCTCAAATCTGATGCCATCCCTCACACGAACAAAATTGTGTAATATACAGCAAGCTTTGATGATGGATACAGCGACTTCCTCCATCACATTCATCGGTCGATGCAGTATACGCCATTTGTTAGTTAAAATTCCAAAGGAGCATTCTACTTTCCCTCTTGCTCTAGACAAGCGATAATTAAAATTTCTTCTTTTTTCTGTTAAGTTCTTTGCAGGATAAGGTCGCATTAAGTTATTTGTTAGTCCAAACGCCTCATCCCCAACGAGTACATATGGCAGTGTTGTTTCTGCTACTTTCTCAGGTTTTGGGATATGTAAGGTATCTTCTTCCAATTTTCTAAACAAGGAGCATTGTCTAAACACCATGGAGTCCGATTCCTTACCATAGGACCCGACATCGATGTATATAAAACAACAGTTGCTGTCGGCAATAGCTAATAGAACAATGGAAAAAAAGTTCTTGTAATTATAATTCAGTGATCCGCTATGTGCAGGCGCGATTATCCTGCAATGTTTACCATCAATAGAGCCAATGCAGTTAGGAAAATTGGTACCTTCTGCAAAATCATGGGCAATTTGGCGCCAACGTTGTTCAGTAGGTACAGGAAAGCACTCTTCCTGTAATGTACGCCATAGGGCAACGCAAACTCTTGGAATTAGAAGACTTGCCGTTGTGACCCCTAATCTGTAGCTGTAGTGCAGCTCTGTATAGGTACATCCTGAACCTAAATACCTGTAAAACAAAACTGCCATTTAGTATAACGATACAGTTACTTATAATAGTAATATCATGGCCAATCTCCTATGTTTCGGGGTTTCGGCTTAGTTAAATGCAAAGAATACGAATAATTATCAACAAATTTTAGGTCTCTCATTATTTGTAGTGCATCTAAAACCTTTACTTTATATTATTGGGATGTACGACATATACATAGATGTCAAGGCTCGTATGAGAAACACATTTTTTTAAAAAAAAATTACATTTAGGTATCTAACATGTTATCTGTTTTTCCTTTTTAGGTAGAGAAGTTCAACTTAAATGGAAAAGTCTGAGGGATGCTTATGTTCGTACCATTCGACAGTCTAAGGGAAAAAAATCAGGAGCGTCTGCTAAAGCTGTAAAAACGTACATCTATGCTAAACAATTAGGATTTTTACGAAAGGTGACTGGTTCCCGTCAGACAGAGAGCTCACTACCAAGTACATCAAGAGAGGGCCAAGAAGATATGGATGTTTCAAAGGACATAAATGACATGCAAAGTACTTCATCAGATGTCCAACATACTCAGTTCGACAGCCAAATGGAAACTGGACGAACTCCTAGTAGAAGTACTCTCTATAGAAGAAAGAAATCAGATTTAGAAAGTAAACTTGCAAGCTATATTGATTCCCATAACAGACAGCCAGCATTAGCTATACAAAGTCAACCACAAGAAACTGATGACATGGCCTTTTTTAGATCATTACAAGCAAGTTTAGATACGCTCACTCCGAATGAGAAATTGAATTTTCGAATAGAGGTCATGCAATTATTAAGCCGATATACTAACAAACAACCAAATCAGTATATACACAATTTTCCAAATCATATACCCCATTACCAACCACAGCAATATCCAGTAATGACCAACATCTCTAATATACGTTTTAATACGCCAGCACCTCCATTCGCATCATATTCTACAGTATCATCTGAGATCACACCTCATTTGCCTCATCCTAATACTGATACTACTGAATCACTTGCTGTGACGTCACCACAAACGCCATTTTCTCCGACGGAATCGGAAAATTCAATAATTTCACAAGCCGAATCACTAATATCACTGTTATCAAATCAATAATATGTATGAACTGTTTTGTTATAGTGTTTGATGTTTTACTCTTATTTCCTGAATAAATGGTTTATTTCTTCAACTTTCTCATAAACTTACCTCAACGTCATTGATAACATTTCTTCTGCTTCGAATGCAAATCCTTGAATCAGCTCCCTATCTTTATTGAAAGTGTTTTTTAACTTTTCACATAGCTCATCAAAGGAAGCTATCGACATACGGTAATAATTAAAGAATTTGTCATTGTCTCGTCTTAGTTCTTTGTGTAGTGTATAATATGTGCCTCTGAGATTTCTTGCACTATTTATTGGGTGAACGCTCCAACGTCTCTTGCGTCTCTTTTTGATTATATATTTGTATGCCAAGTATACAACACACGGATCCATTATTTATCAATGCACCACACTTCCTTGTTTAGACGATACGATGGCCACTGATCTATCTGAAAGCGACACGCCACAAACAACGTTAGACAAAAGTTCCATTTTGTTTCATCTATAAACGCCGCGTTTTTTGTCGCCACGCGACAGGCGACAAAAAACGCGTGCATAAAAGCGGGCTAAGTGTGGAGCCGATTCGCATATTCTCCGCGGATTCGCGCTTTTTTCCCCGATTTTTGTCGGTGTTTTGTACCGCGTCAAAGGGAGCGCGAAGCGCGAACGCGACAGGAACGTGCATGACTCCACACTCGTAGTCTGCGACGCCCAGTGTTGATCGAGCTGTTGTACGTGCCAGTCGGATTTAATGTGGACAAAATGAGCGTAACGTGGTCGAATGAAATGGAGATGCAATTTCTCGAGATTTACCAATCAGAACCTATTTTGTGGGACCCCAAACAAAAGGATCACAAAAATAAATTAAAAATGCACGACGCATGGATGCGCATCAGCGCAATTATGGAGATACCAGTTCCTGATTTGAAGAAGAAAAGAGATTCGTTGCTTTCAAGCTACAGAAGCTATAAAACTAAAGTAAAGAAATCCTTAAGTTCAGGTGCTGGCTCCGACGAGGTTTACAAGCCCGTTTGGTTCACCTATGAATTTATGGATGCCTTCTTGAGCGACACCACAAAATGTAATAAAACTATTAATACGGTAAGTAATGTTTTATTAATGGTCACTTATTTATACATTTTAACGATTAAAATAGTTACAAAATTCGTTCCTTATCTCGATGGCATTAGCAGCGGCACGGCGGGGTATATGTCGCACATTACGAATTGCAGATGTTCTTTCAATTTCACTCCTCCACGAACCGGGTTGTATAAGTACATCGTTGTTGTCATATTGGTCAATAGTACCGGGTGGTGTATAAATGTGGGAAGAAGTCCTGCTTCGCCTCAAATAATTGTGTAATAAAATACATGTCATGGTCACAATACCGGCTTTATCTGGCTGTAGTTGAATAGGTCTTTTAAAAATTCGGAACTTTGTCACCATTACACCAAACGTATTTTCTACAACAACCCGTGCTCTTGATAATTTCTGGTTAAATTTACGTGGCCTAGTGCTCACGTTATGGTTACCAGGAAATGGTCTCATAACATGTTGTGAAAGGGCAAAAGCTCCGTCTGCCAAGAAGACATAGGGTACGTCAATATTTGAATTAGGAAGAGGATGCGGTGTTGGTAAATTTAATTGGTTTGTGCATTTTTTTTCCACAAAAGACAATTTCCAAACACTCCACCGTCGCTAATTCTTCCTTGACATCCAATATCAGCAAAAATAAATTTGTATTGGCTATCTACTACTGCTAGTAGTACTATACTAAATGTTCGTTTGTAATTGTAATATTGAGATCCAGAGTTAATTGGGCTTTCCAAAACGATATGTTTGCCATCTATAGACCCAATAGCTCGGGGTAATGTTGGCGAAAATCCTTTTTCGATTTCTAACCATTCATTTGGCCACGAAGGAATCTGAAACAAAAAATAATAGTATTTATTTATTTTCAGGAAGGGGAGCCTGCGAATGTCGATCATTTTCAGGAAGAAAATAATGCATTCCCAGAAGATAATTCAAGTGGTAGACAAGGAAGTGAAATTCAGCAAGGAGGTGACAGTCAAAATGTAAATAGTGAAGGCAATGTCCAACAAACAATTCGGCGGCGCCGAAATCCTCCCGAACTTCTAGCCGCGGGAAAAGTTGTCAAAGGAGCTCTGGACACTTTTGCAACAACATTAAAAAGGGCTGATATCGAAAAACAACCCAAAGAAGTTGACGATTGTGAGTTGTATGCTCAACTCCTGGCAAAAAAATTAAGAAAAATGCCCGAAGAAAAAAGACTTAGACTGATGCACGATATAGATGGCATGGTTTTACGCCATCAGTACGGGTACCAATCAGAAACATACTTTTCTGCATCGCGATCATCACCCTCTCCATCATATTTTCCAAACGGTCCCAACCAATTTCAGCGACCTGGTACTTCAGCCTCAAGTTATTCTGATTCGGCTGTACACTATACTCCACAGAGAATAATAGTAAACCATTCAAAGAGGGCGTCTAGCACTGAATTATCTAGTCGATCCCTGCCACCATCTTATAATTATACTCCAATAGTCATCCCAAATAAATCTAATGATGATGATGATGTGGGCCCAAATATTCTGATACACGCTGATGAACAAATTTACCCACCCGTGATTCATGTACCGGATGAAGACTCTATGAGTGAACCAAGTATAATAGAACAAGCTTTCAACATCAGTTAAATATTTATATAGTATATATAAATAGTAACCATTATAATGAATGACCCTGATTTATTTCGTTTGGTTTAGTAAACATATTAAACTTACTATCAAAAAATAATTTGATTTAATCTTACCTTAATTTCGTCCTTTAATACTTCGTTTAGAGCACTGCATACTTCTGGTATAATATTCGAAATCAGTTGAGGAGAAATCTTAAATAGGAAATGTAGACTTTGGAAGTCGTCTCCTGTCGCCAAATATCTCAGTGTTATGGCTAAACGTATCTGAGCTGGAATAGCTTTTCGTAATTGAGTATCTTGTTTTGAAATCTTGCTTGAAATTTGATTAAGCAAATATTCAAAATCAGCTAAAGACATCCGAGTTAACTTATGGAATTCACCAGATGGTTCTGCCACTAATTCACTCAGCTGCTTTTCCATTGTTATCCTGTAAAAATAAGCATTCGGAATGATTACATTAAAGATAATTAATAATTTATTATAGGTTAGGTTCCTATGAAACTGCTAAATGTATACTTACGTTGTTCTATTACGATGAATACTTGTCATCCACCATCTTCGCTTTCTCCACCGTTTCTTAATTTCCGTCGTATTCTTAAAATACACGTAGTTATAGTTTGCTAATGCGCACAATGTAGGGGCCGCAGCAGCAGCAACATTTACGTCCATATCGCTCAACGTTGCGAACTTTGCGAACGATGACTGAAAATGCTGCGAACTATTGCGAGTGTGGAGTCCATGGTAAAGTCTTGGCAAATTCGCGCCGCGAAATCGCGCCGTGATTCGCGGGCTAAGTGTAGAGCGCTCTTTAAAGATGATACTCATTATCTAGCATAACGCATGATACAATAATTTTTCTTTCAGCACTGATTTCAGTCGTAAACCATGACCGGTCTTACCATTAGACTAAAAAAACGGAGATCTAACGTCAACCTGCAGTTACTCAGTGACAGTCTTTTGTTTTGATGTCGCTTTTTCTGAGCTTGCTTGTTTCAAACAACCAATAAAAATGCTGTAGCTGTAAAGTAAGGCGCTATAGGCACATGCTCTAATAGTTTTCTGCAACACTCATCTGTATAGTGTAGTCATCAAAAGTGAAAGAATTATGTTTAAGTATGCTTCTACCCTATCCCTTTCTCGTAATACGTGTTCTCGAAAAAATAATATTGCAAGCTTTCCAAATTAAATAGATATATTTTATCATGACGACTTCTGATCTTTCTGTCTAGTGCCTGCGGAGTCTCTCAAAAGTCAGGAAACGAACTCCGAGCGATTTCAGTTTTTGACTCTTTTTGACGATAACTTCGTTGCCACTTGGCCGATTTTTAAAACCCATCTTGGCAGCGGAATTACCTTGTGTAAAAATTTCCTCAAAATTCGACTAGTACTTCTGTACTAGAGAAGTCAAGGATTAGCGGTCAGACAGCAACATAATTATTTTATCATTACTATTATCCCCGAGAGAAACCCAAAAAATATTAACTTTGTTTCTGTGTCAAATGCGGTTATCACCCGCCCTAAAGTATATGCTTTTATAAATGATATAAATTATCTAGTGTAATGCATGATGCAAGATGATCCGATGCAAATGTATACCTTATTCTAACGGATAAGAATAAATTTTGAAACAATTTAATATCAACTATTTCGTGGGAAAGGCTCCAAAACAAGGTAAAATATTTGATTGCCCAACGTATCTGCTTGAGAAAAAATGTCCCTTTGTTTTTGCTAATCTTAACTGAAAGCACGTGTATTTCTCTGTCAGCCTGTTCCGACAAGGAATTTCTCACTACTCACCCATGCAAATTAATGATATGATGTTGCCTACTTACGCGATGAACTGATCTGGTCCACCGTAAATGACAGTTCAGTACTGCCAAGGATTCCAGTAGCGCTTTGCAACGTTGCATGGATCAGGTTCGTTTGTTCAACTAGGAAGCCGCCTGGGATTTGGCTCAGGTAGGATAGAGAGGACCAGCGGTTCAGGATTGCGTGAAGCATATGTATGGGTTAGGTTTTGATTTCGCGCCAAAAATTTTACTGTGTGGGAAATTATTCTGTATAAGGCTAGAATTCGTTAAGACATACCCTATTTGAACCTTTATATACATCGCAAATGGAGATGCAACCAGTATTTCATGGTGTAGCGGGTTTGTATGGAATACTTATTGGTCTGACTTTGATACCAAGACGTATATACAGGGTTATCCAAATTAAGTGTCCACCATTAGTAACTTTGTTATTAGTGAAAATACAAAGTTGTTTGAATTAGCAAACTAGTAGCATTTTTAACGCTGGTAAAAATGAGAAATAAAAAAAAACAATTGAGAGTCGTTATTTTGATTTTTTTCAGTAAAATAACATTTTTTTAAATGGAAACCCCTGTATATTATATTTTTTTCTGTTAAAGCATCAAATTTTAAACAAAAAAGTTCATAATGACTTTTCCGCTAAAGTCAAAAATAAAGTCAAAATAACGATAAATATTTTTAATTATTTGCAGTATTATAATATTAAGACGGCTATGAAAACAACATGGCGTTCGCGATTTGACAGCATTAAGATAAGCGACAAATTGTTAAACTGGACATATGGACATACTCGCAACTAGAAGGCTTTGGAAAACAATGGAAAACAATGATAAAATAATGTCAAACATTAGTGTAAATACTTGTTTATAAGCTTTATTGTGTCATTAATTTAAAGAAAAATGTTCTCCCATGAAGAAAAGTGTGATATGTTAGAATGCTATTTAGTGTGCATAAAATCCTCCTTGAGAGCAAGAGAATACTACAGTGAATTATATCCCGCTCGCATTCAACCGTATGAACGATATTTTCTGAGACTTTATCGAAAATTTAGGGGCAACGAAAATGTTTTTGCTAAAACAAAGGCAAAAAAAGAATTCATAATAAGCGAGGCCACGGAAATTGCAGTTATTGGATATTTTGAAGCTTATCGTGAGAATTCAATAGCAGATATTCTCAAGGACTCTAATTTCAGTTATGGTACTGTTCAAAGGATTTTAAAAAAATACAAATTTATTCCGTATAAGTACCGACCAGTTCAAACGCTTTTGGCAGGGGATCCAGAGAGAAGACTTGTTTTTTGCCATTGGTATCTTAGCTTCTGTCGCCAAAATGTAAATAACTTTCGTTACCTTTTATGGACAGATGAATCAAATTTTTCAAATTCTGGAATGTTTAATAGAAAAAACCACCATTATTGGTCAAGAGAAAATCTTTTGTTAGTACATCCAAGAGGCCCACAAGTCCGTTTCAGTTTCAACGTTTGGTGCGGTATAATTGGTTCAAAAATTGTTGGCCCGTTCTTTTATGAGGGAACCCTAACTGGTGAAAGATATGTGGAATTTATGTCAGAAATTCTGACTAATTTCTTAGACGAATTGGATCTTATAAGTAGACATCATGTGCATTTTCAGCAAGATGGCGCACCTGCCCACAACTCCAGAGGTACTTATCATTTTCTAAGTACTACTTTTAATGATCAGTGGATAGGAACAAATGGCCCAATACAGTGGCCTCCCAGATCACCAGATCTAAACCCACTTGATTACTTCTTGTGGGGTTACTTAAAGAACCAAATTTACAAGCGAAGGTACGATAACCTTGACGCGTTAAAGACTGCAGTTAGGGAAAAGATAACCCAGATAGATGGTAGGACCATACTTAAGACAGTTCGAGCAGTTGAAAAACGTGCCCAAAAATGTATTGAAGAACAAGGTGGTCTTTTCGAGCATCTTCTTTAAAAAAAATTGTTATTGTATTTTGTAAGATTATAAGTTGATGTTGAAAATAAAGTTTGTCGATACAATTTAATTGTTTCAGATTGGAGGCCATAACTTCAACAATTTGTAACCTAGGAGAAAAGTTATTGTAAGCTTTTTTGTTTAAAATTTGATGCTTTAACAGAAAAAAATATAATATACAGGGGTTTCCATTTAAAAAAATGTTATTTTACTGAAAAAAATCAAAATAACGACTCTCAATTGTTTTTTTTTATTTCTCATTTTTACCAGCGTTAAAAATGCTACTAGTTTGCTAATTCAAACAACTTTGTATTTTCACTAATAACAAAGTTACTAATGGTGGACACTTAATTTGGATAACCCTGTATATATATATATATATATATATTTACAGTATTCATACGCACCTGAGCCATTGATAGTAACTTGTACATACAAAGTTGAGCCAGAGAAACAAACCTGACCCATATATGTGGCTCAGGTTTGAATTGCCTTGATTATTCTTACGTGGTGTGTGAAATCTCGATAATAATCAAAACCCTGTTAGATATGACATTGCCGGATATCCTCATCTAAGAAGTACCTAAGCGCAAGAGATATAAATGGTATAAGGGATACAAGTTGGCAACTAGGTGGCTCAGGTTAATACGAAACTCCTGAAAATGTAGTTCATGTGGTGGCGCTGTAAACAAGCTTCATATACAAACATATACAAGAGAATGTCATCCTCTAGCAACAAACCTGAGCCATTTACATTTGGCAACGGTGTAATATTAGAGATAACCGGTTCGCTGAATTCGTAGAATATCTGTACGGCAGTGTTCAATAAATAAAGTCTGCAGACATGTCTCAGCGAACGAGAAAGATTATTGCCTTAGCAAAGACTGGAGGTAAGTTAGTCCATTCGTAATTAAAAGTTCATAATTTACATTATATGCAAGCAGCCCATTAGTTTGTAGGGAAAAGTTCTGTGTTAAAGTAAATACTTTCGCGCTTTTTCTGAGCATGCGAGGTCAGCATTTTTTTAAAGAGCCCGTACTCTTGTTCTGTCAGCTGGCTTAGGTTTACTTTTAGTGATACATGTTTGCCCTAATATTGAATTAGGATGCAACAGAACTACTCACATTGTAGAGGTGTTAATGATGGATAATTAATTCATACCCTTCATGCTGGTGAAGCTTCTTTTTTTACGTGAAGTCTGCTATTTACTTGACAGCAGGTTACATTTGTCATTCAAATTACATGAGACGACTGATATCCGAAACTCTTATTTAAAATAATTGAACCTGTAGAAATTAATAATATCTACTAGTAAGTAAAATAAAAATGCTCTATTTTCATTCCTTACGGATATACAGAGTGATATATCAGGACCGGTCAAAACTGTAAAATTGTATATTTCAGATAAAATTAACCGACTTTAATGAAAATTTGCTATAGTAGAAATATGGTAAAAGTGCCTAGCGGTCATCTAAAATTGGTACGAAAATTTTTAAGCCCAGCACTGGACCCATTTTTTTTTTAATTTTTTGAATTCAACTCCCTGTGTGTTAGATATCGAAAAGTTTCATATTATGCAGTCATAGCCAATTGATGATACTTTTCAAAACAGCAATTTAGTTGACTGCGTCTGTTTTAATTTTTTCAGGAAAAAATAACGTTTTAAACAAATATCCTACGAGATTATGTTAATAAATGCTTATTTGCTCAAGCAATATTAGTCGGACTTCTGATGAGGTTTCATAATTTTCTTAATATCATTGATACAAAAACTGATTTTACCGACAAAAAGTTCAGGTCCGGTCTCTATTTTTCTAGTTTTATTCACTGTATCTGGACCCATGCACTGCAACTTGTATACTACGGGATTTCTGTATATTTAAATGTAATATTAATCAACATACACGAAATTATAGTTTTAGAATTTTTGAAAATGATTCCTAGGTTTCGTTACCAAGAGAAGTATTACTACATATACTGTCTATTTTTTATAGTATCATTGTAGCACATGAAACACGTGAAATGCTTCTATCTAGGTAGCCATGAAATATCTGACATTTTCCACTGTGTTCTTTGACAAGTCACAGCACCCTGCCTTGCATAATAAAAATGGATTCTAAAGCAACAATTTAGTGTACGTTAATTAATATTACATTTAAATATACACACATACCGTAGTATGAAAGATGCAGTGCATGGATCTAGATACAGTGTGTCAATTTCACACAATTAAAAAACATTAAAAAACGTGTCGAGTCCTAGATTTTCAAATTTTCCTACCAGTTTAAGATTACCCCTAGGCACTTCTACTAACGTGCAAAAGTTCATTAAAATCTTTTCATTATTGTCTGAAATATCAAATTTTACAGTTTTGGCCTGTCTTGATAAATCACCCTGTATATTCGATAAAAATGGGAATGAGCATTTTTATTTTCTGATATGGGGAGACCTCGGTCCATACTACATACGGTTTCACTATGTCTGTTTCCTAATGAAACACCTTATATAGTTTCTAGAGGAATCTCATAGGATTCGAAGCAATTTAGAGACAAATTAAATTCTAGCTAACAGGATACGATGTCGCTACTCAGTATGAAAGAAATTTTGGAAGTCTCTTAGTCACTTTGTCCAGCTTTATTCTTCATTCTATCGCGAATATACTGGAAAATACCTGTCGCTGAGTCGCTAGATGAGAAAACGGTTCATTTGACACAAGAACATTAGCTGCCACTGCCATCGTCATCGGTGTTATGTTGGTAGAAGTTGAAACGCTTTCACTATCGTTTTTCAGATAATACAGCAAAAGAAAATATACCTGACATGGAAAACATGGAGAATCTTAATTCAAGCGCTTCAGACGGATTTGATCCAATATCTAATTGGGTAGTTGAAGTTGATCCAGATGTCCTAAAAAAACTTGATTCTGACAAAAGTAAAGAGACTCCAGATAGAGACTTTCCTTTCAATAGCAGTTGCAAAAATGAAAAACAAATGAGAAAGAGCCCATTGTCTGAAGCGAAATGTCAACATACATTTAATGCCCCAGATACGAGTTATATGGAGAATGAAGTCTCAGATCCAGCAAAAAAAACAAAAATCAACATACTGTCCCACTGGATATTAAAAAATGGTGTGCCTGATTTGATGGGAACTGCAATACCTACAGATGTTTACGAGTTCAGTGACAATATGGATGCGGACACGACTGTCAATTCCAGAGCTCATCCCCCTATGGAACAAGATATTCAAGTTATTGTTGTTCCATCTAAAGAGGAAGTAGAGCATTTATCAATGTCAAAAGACTTACCAATGATAGTTGATGAGATTTATGTTACCAATGGAGTTGACAAAAGCAATATTGAGTGTGCGCCTGAACAACTTATCGAAGATTATGTCCAGCTCAGTGGGCCCAACATGTCAATCTCTGATTTAAAGGTATGTATAGACTGAATCTTAACTTTGCTTTCACTAGGTAAATATTAGATGTTCAATCTTTCGTTGAACACGGTGTCCCACTTGAGTAGAATAGAACCACTAACTTTGTTTCGAAAATAACTTCCGATGTCATAAATGCTCAAGAGTAATGAACATCTAGCTCAGTGAAGTGATGATATGATATGATCATTAAATATACATTTAAAGTATTGTCAAGCTCAAATCATAATTGAGAACAGAAGACGTACGATCTGTGATTTTTATTTTCTTTATGCTTTTTGTACTGGTATCAACATTTTCACCACAACTTGTAGCATTTATGTGCCAACAATTTACTTGACTCCTTGACCTTAGCATAAACTGTGAAATTTATAAACCCTACTTACGATATCTATTGTAGCTTTATCAGTACCTATTTTCAGAATGCAGATGAAGTTATCAAAGAAGCAACCCCACATGGAGATGATAAGGTAACTAGATCTTTATAGTATGCGAATTATATGTAAATATAATAAAAATATTTTGTTGATAGGCTACTGTAGAAAGGACACAGAAAAAGCATTATAAAGACAAACAGACACACTGCTTTTATTGTGAAAAGGACGTATCTCATTTCAGTAGACATATTGCAACCTGCCACCAGAATGAGTTTGATGTACAACGTATACTTTCGTATCCATCTAAATCAAAAGAAAGAAGACATGCTGTAACGACTTTGGCAAAACGGGGAAATTACCTTAGAAATAGATTCAATCCAAAGTTGAGACCGGTGAGACGAGTAACTTCAACTTCCTTACCATCAAGTACGAGTAGTGATTTTCTGCCTTGTCCACATTGTCTCGGATTTTACAAGAACGCAAGTTTATATCGACACACTAAAAGCTGTAGCAGTCGCCCAGAAACATCCACCAAAAAAAGGCAGAGTGCCCAAAGTGATGGTCAGACAGCACTTCTAATGGACATACAATTTAAACACGATGAATTATTGAAAAAAATTCTATTTCCCCGAATGAGAGCCGATGGCATAGCACTAACTGCAAAAAAACATCGTTTGATTTGCAATTATGCATACAGTTATATAAAAGGTCGAAGGAGTAAGGGCAACTTGGATTGTGTAAGACAGAATGTTAGAAGGCTGGCTAAGTTATTATTATACGCTAGGGGAGAGAATGAAGCCATTAAAGAACTGATTGGTTTGCTAAGGCCAAAATATTTCAAATTAATCGTGGATGGAGTTAAAAAGATCGGATGCTACAATGCACAGACGGATACGTATGAGTCACCCCCTGTAGCTGTGAATTTCGGAACGCTTTTAAAAAAATGTACCGATTTAGCATACATTCACCTGTTACAGGTAGAAAATACAGAGAAACAGAGAAAAGAATTGAAAACTTTGAAGACTCTCATTCAGTCACAGTGGGCAGACGAAATCAGCGCTCAAGCGGGATCAAACTTGAGCGCTCAAAAGTGGAATAAAGAAAAGCTGTTGCCGTTAACATCCGATCTCAAAAAACTCAAACAATATCTAGAAGTGCTAGCTCAGATTGCATTTGATAACTTGCAAGCTGATGAAAAAAATAAAGATGCTTACACGACACTAACAGAAACCCTCTACGCTCAAATTATACTTTTGAATAGAAGGCGTCCGGCAGAAGTTGCTCAGCTGAAGGTGGAAACGTACAAGTCTATTGATCTCAATATCAGAGAAAATGAATTTGAAAACTGTCTGACAGAAACCGAAAAGATCCTTTCCAAATCATGCAGCCGGATTATTATTAGAGGCAAAAGAGGTCGTGGAGTCCCCATTTTGATATCGCCAAAAATGAAAGAACACTTTCAGTTCCTAGTCAATGTGAGAGATAATTTTGTGGAGAATAATGATTATATATTCCACACCGATGGGAAATCTTTCGTTGATGGATCAAAAATCTTACACAAGTATGCATTGAAAAGTGGTGTTGAAAACCCAAAAAGTACTAGTGCTACTAGGCTGCGTAAACATTTAGCCACTGTTACCCAGCTACTACAATTTTTAGAGAGTGATATGGAACAACTATCAAAATTCATGGGACATACCCTAAAAACCCATTGCGACTTTTCCAGGTTGTCAGACAGCTTATTCCAAACAGCCAAAATTTCTAAACTCCTTCTCCTTGCAACAGAGGGTGGTTTAGAGAAATATAAAGGAATGCCTTTAGATGAAATAAGCATCGATTTAAGTCCAATTTCTGAGGACTGCGATCTAGAAGATGTACTCCTGTCTGGAAACAGTGAGCAATCTATCTCGACTTTTTTTTTTTTTTGGCGTTAGGACTAGGAGTCCATGCAGCCAGCCACTAGGTTTCTTAAACATATATGTTTCTAACACATTGACGCCACAACATCCATGGCTTCGGAATGTGATTTCCAAAGGCGAGATTCGAACTCGCGGCCCGGCCGGCCGGCTGATCAGTAGCACGACACTCTGACCCACCCGGCCAACCGAGGTCCCCCTATCTCGACTTCAAAAGGAACAGAGATACAGAAACCAAAAATGCCCGTTAAGAAACAGTCATGGACTCATGAACAGAAAAAGGTTATATCCGAGTATTTTGCAGAACATATAATAAAAAAACGAGCTCCTAAGCAAATGGAAGTAATCAATTTTGTACAAGAGTATCCTGAATTTGAAGACCAAAAGTGGTTATCCATTAAAGCTGTTGTTTACAACATGTATACAGGTAAACTTTTATGCAACATGTCTAAAAATCTGTAACGCAAATTAAGCAAAAAATTTGACGATTTTTCATTTTTTTATGAAGCTTATGTTTTGTTAATCTTACACTAATATAAAATAGCTTTTGAAATTGTATTTTTTTCAATCATCCTCTAAAAGTATTTGTTGCTTGAGCAAAAGAAAGATTGTTGCTCAGAAATATTCAGATAATCCCTTTTTACGATATTATGCAATATCTTATAACCGCCTGTCTGTTTTATAACCTGTATACAATATAATAGGTTTTCCATCCTTGACAGATGAAAATATCACCGACTGCCCAAACAAATGACAGATATACACGCCGACGGAAATGGGTGATACGGATGTCTGTAATGTTTGTGTATTTAAATAACAAAAAAAACATGACAATTTGAGTTGTTACGGTGCTGTGGTTTTTTCGAAACCCCGACTGCGTAGATGGAATTATCTTAAAGGTAGTGACGTGCTGCATCAGTTGCTCATATACAATTTTTTCTAATAGTTTTGATAACACTGGAAGGATACTAATTGGTCTATAATCATCAGGTCCTTCCGGAGCATCAATTTTAGCAAGAGGCCTAACGCATGCGGCTTTCCAAATTTTAGGAACTAACCCTTTTTCAAGCGAATAGTTAATTATATGAGTAATCGCTTTAGAACAAAAAGGAAACACTAGAGCTAACATATTTATATTCAAACCATCTAGTCCAACCGCCCGAGATTTTATTTTATTGAAAATCTGTAATATTTTATCCTCCGTGACCGGTTTTAACTGAAACAGGTTGTCTATAGATGGCAAAACATTGCTATTGTAATGATGAATAATACTGGTATCCACACAATTATCTGGAATGGAATTTAGGAAATATTTGTTCACTAAATCAGGTTGCAATGTGCATTCTAAAGTATCTTTAACAGGATTATGTACACCTAGTTGTTTGATGGTTCGCCACCAATCACGAGAACTTCTACCTTCTTTAAGCTGCAGTTCTATATAGGCTTTTTTTTCTCTTCTTATTAAAGCTGTTACAAAATTTCTGAGTTGTTTATAATAAACCCATTTGACATTGATCAAATCTGCAGAAAGAGCATCCCTTACCCCTTTTTTATATTTCATATATGCATTGTTTCTCAATCTCATCATGAACTTAATGTTTTGGGTGATCCAAGGATAGCGTGGCTTTGTTACTTTTACTGTTTTGATGGGCGCGCATATGTCTAGCAAAATATTGATCAAATCATACAAGTAGCTTAGCTTGGATTCAAGATCTTCGAAGTTGATAACTCCTAACCAGTACATTGATGAAGCTACCTCAGCAAGTAAGTTGGTATCTAAATTCCTTAAATCGCGGATACGTATATATGTTTGTCTGTAGACGCTGGCTGGATAATCTGTACAAAAGTATACCAAATAATGATCCGTGAAAGGTAGATTTACAGCTCCGGTTTTTGTGATGTTTAAGTTTTTATCTACGAATACCACATCTATCAGACTTCTGCTGTTATCTGTTACTCTTGTTTCCTGACTTACTATTTGATTCAAATTGAAATCCTCGAAAATTGTTGACATGAATGAATAGTCCAGGCCTTGTTTATTCAAAACATTTATATTTAGATCACCCATGCATACTATATGATCAGATGATGTGAAAACAGTAAGTAGTGAGTCTTCCAGGCCTGTCAAAGCTGTATAATCAACATTGGGAGGTTTGTACACAACACCCACAGCAAATGCTTTTTTGTTTATTTTAACCCTAACCCAAAGTTGTTCAAGGCCCTCTTGTGTTGCAAAGTTAAAATCAGATACTTGGAAGCAATGCAGTCCTTTTCTCACATAGAGAGCGACTCCACCGCCTCTCCTATCTTTCCTGTCACATCTAAACAACTGAAATCCTGGAACATGGATATCATTATCAGTGATGTGTGGTTTGAGCCACGTTTCGGTGAATCCGATGATATCAAAATTTTGCGACAACACATAATCTTTAACATCACAAAAACAGCTAGTAAGTGATCTAATATTTACACATCCTATGATCAAATTATGCTCTCCGCCTTCGATGACATCAAATTCTGATAATACAGTCATTTCAAAATACAGCAAAAAAAAAACACAAAAAACAGATTAAAAAAAGATAAAAGGATAAAAAATGGAAAGTTTTTTAAAAAGTTTGAGATAAAGTTGAAGAGTTTGAGATAAAGTTGAAGTTGAAGTTGAAATGGGATAAACTTCCAGTAAAAATTAAAACAGAGATTAGATAAAATGCCCTTATCTATTCGAAGTAATTTGTCTTACTTCGTATAAGACCCTCATGTTTTTGCAAACACAGACAATTACTATCCCACACAGCATGGTTCGTATCTAGCGTTTTATCTTGTTTTTCATTAATAGACAGACAGTTTGCACAGCATGACGATTTGCTTTTACACTGCTTCCGTTCGTGACTGCCAGCACAAATAGGACATACAAATGCATTTTTACAATTTTTTTGTATATGGCCATACTGACAACACTTGAAACAGCGTGTCACTGACAAATGCTCATAAATACGACATCTATCCCATCCAATATTCAACTTCCCTTCCCCTATCACTGACTGATATGACTTAGGATCTAGCTCCATAACAAGATCAAATTTTGCACCTTTAATTGGAAACTTATACACTATATTAAGAACAGCGTCATCATGGCTGACGAGCCTGCTATTTTGATTCACAATTTCGCTTTTAAGAACTTGAGAATCAACATCATACTGATCTTTGTTAACACCTATCACTCTAATTCGAGGATTTCGCTTTTTTGGCAGTTGAACAGAGCAATTGCCTGACAAATTAGTTTCAATCGATTTCTTAATTATTTCTAACGACCGTTGGTTATCGCACTTCAGAACAATGTCACCGTTATTATTAGCTTTATTGATTTGCACACCGACTTGAAGACTTTCAGGATTTACCTTACTCAGCAGTTTCTGCTTCAAGGATGCTACATCGATGTTACTGTTAGGCTTCACCAGCAATACATAACCTCTACTCGTGTTTCCCTTTACAGCATTGCTGTAAGAAACCTTGGGCTCACCAACGACCATGTTTGTTTCTCTATTCTTCTCATTCTCCTCCAGTTTTTTACATAAATCAGCAACAGTTGTAGTGAGCTCTTCTATTTTTGAGTTTTGACCATTAATTATTTTATAGCAAGCATCCAGTTTCTTTTTGACGTCAGATAATATCTGAGCCAAACCAGCACATTCACATGAACTGCTAACCGAACGTGAAGTTGTCCGTTTTGTTTCTCCACCGGAATAGCTCATGGTAACCGGAATCTTGTTACAACGTGACAACGGCGCTCACTGTTCACGCCGCATTCCAGAACCCGACCGTACTGTATACACTTTTGAGAATGCAAATATAGGCAATCTTTATATCCAAACTGATCACCACACGTCCAGATGTTCACAGATGCACTTTTCGAAAAATTTATTAACTTAGAAATAGCGAAAATCCGAATAATCCTAACAGGCTATACCGCATAGCTCCATACCACGTTGCCATTTGAGCCACCATTACGGTAGCATGTAGTAAAGCTAGGTTGATGAAATTTTTACGGTAAATAGCTGATACCGTAAGGAAGTTTTTAAGATACTTACGAATAGTAAGAACATGTTTTTTCAATTTTTTATAAACGTTCAAAGTTGTTGCACTTTTTTACTTTTTTGTTATGTTCGAAGATTTTGAAAAAAATAAAAAGTAGTATTAGTTACATGACTTGAATGATTATATGATAGTTAAGCCTTAGGTCTTAGCTAGATAATCGTGAAAAAAGCAGGCATTTATCACAATTATTAACGAAGTTATGGTAAAAATAAACACAGAACTCAAAAATTCTCGAAAAATCCGAAAAAAAATCATAACTCCTAAACTAAACAAAATCGGACCATATATATGGGGGTGATTTGGGTTCCTCTCGATGTGGAGAATCTAATTTTTTTTATGACGTCACGTGTTTGGCCACCCTGTATATATATATATATATATAATTTGAGACATGGTCATTGTCGTCTAGACTAGTTAGGTGAAAAATTAAAGCTTCCGCCTTTTGTTGGGTACTTAGACAAAAATTTAAGCAAAGAGGACTCTTTATACTTTTTTTATTCTCTCTAGCTTTCAATGGACTTTGCCATCATCATCAGGAGCTGCAATTACATTGATAATAGTAGCAAACATAGTGTAAAATGAATTTGAATTAACTTAACTTACAGTAGTATGTGAGGATGTTGCTAATTGTTGTTTACGTTCAGGATGAGGGAAACACCCAGTAACATGGTGAAAGCTGGATAAATGGTACAATGGTCAAAATTATATAAAATACACACAACTGTGCACAGTGTTTCGATAGCATCAAGTTGGCTGGTCAAAAGTCATCATACGAATTGTGGCGAAGTGACATTAAATATTGACAGACGTCACTCCAATAGTTGTGATTTCAGTAATTATTTTGCTTTGAATTAATTAAATGATAAGTTTGATATCAACATATCAGTTGAGGAGTTATTGTAAAATTTATTCCTTATTTTGTACTTCGTACGACAATATTATTATAGTGGTTGTTGTTGCCTGACAATATATCCGTGGCGATGGATTCTGTAATTAAAGGTAAGCACTGCTTAATGTTAATAAACAACTATATTAAATACACCTCAGTAGTTGAAAAAATCTTAATTTTTGAAAACTCTTGATTTTTTATCAATTTTTTTATTTTATAAGAGAGGAAACTATATGCCCTCGTGTGCCCCCGGGCTAAAATTCATTTATGTCATAGCTGTTACTTCCTACTCTTAAAATATATTAGATTTTAGCTGCATATTTTTGTACAACTAATTTTTTTCTATCGTTTTTCAGTTTACGTCTACACTATTTCGAAAATGGAATTTTTAGAGGAATGTCTGAAACATGAAAAAAGGGACCAGAACAGCAAGTTATACCAACTTTTATCGACAAAATATGACTTTCTGGGTATCACCGAGGCTTCATTGAGGGAAACAAAAAACTCTATCTGTAGATTTTCGTCAAAACTATCCCAGAAATTTTCGAATTGTTGAAAGAATCGAGAACGCTTTCTGTTGAAAAATTCGGAATGGATGGCTGGCGATCTACGCTTCAATATTTCTCTTCATTATTCGCAACCATTTCTATCTGAAAGCTCTACTGCACTTGGAAGACCGCGAAAAGAATTCGCCGAGTCAAGCCACAAAACGAAAAAGAGACGAGTTGAAGACCTAGTGGCTTCGTGGAGTACATCCGAATTAATCTCTGCCGCGGAAATATCAGCACGACTTTCTGGCTACAGAGGCTTGGCTACCGTAATTAAGAACGCTAGTGAAAGTTCGGTAATATGCAAGGAGATGAAGAAATGTGTAATGTCCAATGACTGCACCAACCAAAGGTGTTTAACCAAGGAAGAGGCTCTAGCATTTTATGTTGACTCAAAGTCAACCAGTTATTCTTATAAACAGACTCGAAAGTGGAGTATTAAGGCTGGACATCAGGTATTTCCATCATTTTATAGTATTCGGAAAGCTAAGACTTCATGTTATCCTCCCGAGAATCAAATTGTTGTGTGTGAGACTCGTGCAGAAATAAAACTTCAAGCGATTTTAGATAAAACGGTTGAACGTTTAGTTACTGCTCAGGGTGAAGTTTTAAACAATTTGGATCCTGCTGTATCGTTCACTCTTATCAGTAAATGGGGCTGTGATGGAAGTTCTGGCCACAGCACATACAAACAAAAATTCACCAATAGTGATGACCCCTACATCCAATTTACCATTGAAAAAGAAGATGAGAACCTGTCTGTCCCCTTTCTAGACACAAAACTCATCCGCACCAACAACAATAGTTTATTGGTAGACTGCTACCAGAAACCTATGGCCTCAGGCCGGTTTCTCAATTTTGGGTCATACCATAAGCTAGGGATTAAAATCAACTTGGTGAAACAGATGAAAACAAGGGTAATCAGCATCTCAGATAATACTTTCCACACTTCAAATTTACGTAAACTATCAAAACTGTTCATTAACAATGGTTATCCGAAGTGTCTGATTAACAAGATCTTATTTAGCTCTCCTCCCGGTATTTTGCCAAACTCTAATGATACAAGTAATAGTTTCACAACCCCTAATAACAGAACTGATAGAATTCCCAACAACAACCCCAATTCAAACAGTACAACCACCATCCCAAATTCCAGACCTGGTTTTGCTGTCCTACCCTATATCAAGGAACTGACCCCTAAGCTGATCAGATTGTGCAGTCCGTTGAACTGTCGAATTGCTTCCAAATCCGTCCTCACTATAAACTGCATTTTTTCAAAAATGAAAGACAGAGTCCCGCTGCTTGGCTTAACCAACACAGTCTGCTCTATCAATTGCAACCAAATATACATAGGTCAGACGTCCAGATCTCTAAAAGGAAGGATTATATCACACAAAAGTGATTCTAGGCTTCATCCTGAAAGATGTGTTAACACAACAGGGCACTCTATGAACTTCACAAGTATCAAAGTTCTCGATAAAGAAAAACACCTATCCAAACGTTTATTCCTGGAAATGTCCCATATTTTCATGAATAACAACTATATCAATAAAAAGACAGATGTTAAGCAACTGAGTGTAATTTACTCATATTTGCTAAACTGTGAAAAATTGGAGCACTTACACATCTCCCCAAATTTCGACTCTTCACAACCATAAATGGAATCTGTTTCTTGGTCTATTCCACCAATAAACTTCATTCCGTTGAAATTTTAATAATTTTTTCCTCACGATTTAATAATAATTGTTAATTTAATTTGCCCATTAATAAAGTATAGTCAATTCAACTGCCTTTGGTCGGTTTGACAATTTCTTACATAACACATTTTGAAAAATCACATCATCTGAAGTGTTTTGGCAACGTAGCACACGCCCACAAAATAATTCATTCCATCATTCTGGACAGACACTGACAACCTTCGACCATCTGTCAAAGGGTTCATCTTACTCATTATTCCATGCCCACCATTTTAAGAAAGCTTTCATGGCTTAAGTTCATGGTAAGACCTGAAGTTCAGGAACCTTCCGGAAGAAATTGGTTTCCTGTACGAGTCAACCAGTAATATATTGTCATTGGTACGAATCAGTCTTGAATCCAAAAAGGGAACAGATTGATTGTCATCTTCTTTTTCGATGGTGAACTGGATGTAGGGATCATAACTGTTAAAAACCTCAACAATATCTTCCACCCTATCATAAGGAATACGAACGATTATATCGTCCACATACTTTTTTATGAAAATTAGATTGTATGGCAATACTTGAATAACAACATCAAGCAGGTCATCCATTACATATTCTGCCAAAATTGGAGATAAAACAGAGCCCATGGGGCAGCCATGTGTTTGTGAAAACACTTTGTTATTAAAGTCAATTGTTCTGGAAAAGGTACTTTACGATATTGATGAAAGAATCCTAACACCAAAATTGATCAGGCTGTATAATTCCTTTACTTGTCGTTTTGCTTGAAAATCAGTGCTCACAGTCAACACTCTGGATTCTTTCATCAATATCGTAGAGTACCTTTTCCAGAACAATTATTTTACCTTTAATAACAAAGTGTTTTCACAAACAAATGACTGCCCCATGGGCTGTGTTTTATCTCCAATTTTGGCACAATATATAATGGATGACCTGCTTGATGTTGTTATTCAAGTATTGCCATACAATCTAGATTTTATAAAAAAGTATGTGGACGATATAATCGTTTGTCTTCCTTATGATAGGGGGGGTGATATTGTTGAGGTTTTTAACAGTTATGATCCCTACATCCAGTTCACCATCGAAAAAGAAGATGACAATCAATCTGTTCCATTTTTGGATTCAAGATTGATTCGTACCAATGACAATATGTTGGGGGGTTAGATGGTAGAATAGATATATACGTAATCTAAATCTCGCCTCCTGTAAGAATATTACAAATAAAAGACGCTAATTATTATTATTAATATATTACTGGTAGACTGGTACAGGAAACCAATTTCTTCCGGAAGGTTCCTGAACTCCAGGTCTTACCATGAACTTAAAATAAAAATAAACCTGGTGAAACAAATGAAGAACAGGGTTATAAAAATCTCTGGCAGTACTTTCCATCTTTCCAATTTAAGGAAGCTTTCAGTCTTATTTATCAATAATGACTATCCTGAGTATTTGGTTAACACAATCTTGTTCAGCTCGCCTCCGAATATTTTGCCAATGACTAATAACAATAGTGAAAATGAAAATACTGGTCGGTCCAACCAGACACCCATTGCTTCTTCAACTAATGAGAACAACAGCACTACAGTGGTTGCTCCTATTTCCAGAGTTAATTATGTTGTTTTGCCATACATCAAAGAACTATCACCAAAATTGATCAGGCTGTATAATTCCTTTAATTGTCATTTTGCTTGTAAATCAGTGCTCACAGTCAACAGTTTGTTGTCCAAAATGAAGGATAAGGTTCAGTTGCTTGATTCAACCAATACTGTCTATCGTATTAATTGCAACAACTGCAATTTAGTTTATATAGGCCAAACTTCTAGGTCGCTGAAAGGCAGGATAACTTCACACAAAAGTGATGCCAGATTACATCCAGAAAGATGTGCTTTGGTGTCGCATATCAACAACACAGGTCACTCTATGAATTATGGCAGTATTGAGGTTCTTGATAAAGAAAAAAGACTCTCAAAACGTCTATTTTTAGAAATGTCCCACATTTTCATGACAGATCATTGCATGAATAAAAAGGCTGATGTTAAGCAGCTCAATGGCATTTATTCCTACCTGTTGAACTGCGAAAAGCTAGAACGGCTACATGTCCAAATTGATCCAACATCTTCACAAAATTAGAATACATTTTCTCACTCACATAACCCATCTTTTCAAGGTTGTATCAATATCACACATTCTTGCACTCAGATGAACCACACATTCTTTTACAAAACAAGTTATTCCAGCATTTTAGTAATTTTGGGTGGAGATTTACTGAGCGTCCCTCGTATACTTCATACCCAAAGTTGGACAGGGAGGTGCACATTTCCACGTTCCGTGGCGTCAATCACTTGTCTTCTGTCGACGCTTTACCGTTCCGTGCCTTTCCCCCTCTCCACGTGTAGCGGTAGTAGAAGGTTACGGACTGCATTCCGATTGTTTCAACAAAATGTCTCCCCACGTGCAGTATTTTCAGCTTGTTCGGGTTTATTGATATAATTTTTATTTTTCTTAACTTTTAACGAAGGTATCTGTCGTTTTTTAACAAGCCCAATGTCCCCGTCCTTTTGTTTTTATACTGAACACAAGTTCGATCTTCTCTACGTTCCTTCTGAAACACCTTGTGGCTGCAACCTCACCGACGAGTAAGCTGTCTGACATTTTAAATCTGTCTTCTTTGCTAGCATTACAATTGTGTTTTCAGAATCCTGGTGATGCCTCCATAGAGAATGCCGAAAGCTTATTTTATCGTCAAAAGAGTCAACTTTAGCCTAAAATTTTTGCCAATTTCCCAATTAACAAGCAATTATATATTTATATATATATATACATATATATACATCCTACTAATATCATAAATGCGAAAGTATGGAGGGATGGACGTATGTTTGTTCCTCAATCACGCCAAAATGGATGAACCGATCTGGATGAACTTGACACACAGATAGATTATAGCCTGGAATAGCACATAGGCTACATTTTATCCCGGGAAAGAACTTCGAAATATCTATTTCAAGAGTTACAGCCAAAAGTGCTCAAATCTCAGTTGACCATGACGCGGCGAAATATCAACCTGACACCCTCAGCTTTTCGTTCGATTTCCGCCACGGCCAACTGGGATTATTTCATGGTAAAATCCTTATATGGAGCAGATGGAACGTATCCTACTAATCATAATAGTGAAAATGCGAACAAACGGATGTGTCTTTGTTATTCAGTTACGCCAAAATGGCTGAACGGATATGGATGAAATTTGGTTCAGAGATAGATTATAGTCTGGAATAGCACGTAAGTTAGTTTTGACCTTGGGGAGCGGGGGTAGGGTAAGGGATTTTGCTTTATTTATATAATTGGTAAGGCCAGGACAATTTCCGGGAACCACACTGAAGAGCGTGGAGAGGGGTGGGGAGTGCAGACTTTGGTTTATGTGCATGAATGTCAATTCGTAGGAACAATTCCCCGGATTAAATGTTGAAGGGCGCGGGGTGAGGGGCAGGGAAGCTTGAGAAGGTGGGACCATTTTGCGTCCCCAGCTGTTTCTCGCGGACACCGGGACGGGAAAAGTCAGCTGTCCCACTCAATTCGGACGTATAGTAACGTTAGATAGGCCACCTAGGCTGTGAGATACTTCATGAATTATTTACTGTGACTACACATTTGAAATTAATTTATTATTGAATTGATATGTTGAATGAAAAGGTCCAGCGCCAAAGTAACTATTGCATTATTATACTTTACACTACTTCCATGCGAGCGAAGCCGCGAGGTTTGGCTAGTTTATATATAATTGCTATGTTGTCAGCTTAAATATTTTCATATTTTACACATTTTCAAATCCCTGCAATGTTCATTGTCAACTGCTTATTGTTAACATATCTTCTGCTGGTGTGATATCCCATATTTACACTTGATTAGTATATTTTTTGTTGACACATTTCCTATTAAGAATGTCAAGAAAATTTTATTTTGCATTGATTGATCTCCATATAAAATATTTTGTAAACCACCAAATAAACATTTTTTTAAGTAGGTATTTACTGTGTTTTATTACTTCTATATTGGGGTCTTGTACCTACCACAAAAGGCACACATTTTGGTTTACAATCATAAAATGAAAGCACAATGTGTAAATACACTTCTTTTTTTGCATTGATGGCCGATGATTAGAAGTTTGAAGAGGGGGGTTGCTAACAATGTCGTTCGAAAATTGTACGTATTCCGTATGATTTGGAAAAAGTAGGATATTTTTCGCCCTATGCTTTTTGTTGGAGACACCACGACCGAAACGAAACGAGGGACATTTTTGTGTCGCCAGGCTTTTGTCAGCAACAGTAGGACAGAGTCCGAAAGTGGGACTATGGTCACCTTAATAATAGTATACCTACAAGAAAGACGTTTTTGTACCTCCAATATACTGAGAAATTTATTGGCTTTTATAGCCCTTCATGGCCTACATTGTTATACGCCTATGGTGGGAATTCCGTAGTTGACCTTGAGCCTTGTGCTGTTCCAAGCCTGGGGTCAATTTGATAAAATTATGAATGAAAGTTGGTATTTCCCGCCACTGAGGTCCGCGAACATAACAAACGGCGGACTTATGAATGACTTGCAGGGTCTATATAGGTAAGACGTCAATGTTGAAACACCAGTTTTTGATTCTTATACTTTTTTAAACAAGTATTGAGCTGTATAACAATAGTTTGAACATTCGATCAACGTGAAAAGCAATTATGATTTGAAAAGTGTAATTCTGAAATTCGACCAATTTCGCCCTTGCACTCTAAGAAGTTTTATTCTCCTACTCTGTTGAGGTAAATTATCTGATTTGTACCATTTTCGAATCTTCATTAACTGGGCTATTTTTCGGAGAGGTTTGCCAAACAAGTCCCATACATTTTTCTTATACTACTGTTAGTCGAACTTACAAGAAACTTTTTGATGCAGAAAAAAAATTCCAAAATAGCGCTTCGATTTCAAAATTACGTGACTTTTAGAATAAAACTGTTTGTAGTTTCATGCTTCAATCATTCGCTAATAAAAATAGTGAAAAAAAAATGAAAATAAACCCTAAACGCGGCACCTGTCGGTGAAAGTTTGACGGAAGTCATACTTTTAAAAAAAAACTGATTTTTTGTTTTAACGCAAAGGTTACACTTTTTTTTGTCAGGTCTTTACCGCAATTGAGAGGTCATTATCTAAGGTATCTTCCATTGGAATTTGATTCACATATTCTGAAAAACTACTAGGACCCCCTCCAACAGAGCTGTTGCCAAAAATTAGAATTACACATCTTCCTGAACTGTGTCCTAAACCTGATGGAGAGACCACTAGAGACAAACGGAGAAGGTGCGCTGTTTGCTGGGAACAAAAAAGACAAAGAAAGGATTCAATTTATTATTGTCCTTTATGTCCGAACCAACCTGGGCTTTGCTTGACTCCTTGTTTTCGAGTATTTCATTCCACAAAATAAATTTTGTTCGTGTTTGTCTCTATTTGCCTATTTGTTTTTATTTATATAAAAAGACAAACTATTTTCGTTTACTTTATTTGATAGAGTGATTTTGTATTAGTTTGTATTTTGTTTTTGAGTTTTAATATCTTTCAATACAGAATTTATTATGTTGCGTGTGAATAAAGTTTTAATTCCAGTTTTCTTGTTGCAATATTTTGTTTCATTTTTATTTTAGGGGATCGTTTATTTTCTGTGTTTATTGTTTCTTTAATATTTATCATACATTAAATTCTTGATGCGCATCGTATTTATTATTTACTTCGACTAATATCGAAAAAAGAAATATATGTCAAATGAACGCCGCAGAGGCGGCATCGGGCACAAACTAAGTAGTTGGCTTGCCCTGTGCCTTGCCCGCCCCTAGGGCGGTCTTGTATTTTTTTGCAAAAAAATGGCCAACATCAGCTTAGGGTATTAACCTAAAGCTAACACTAGCATTGAATTAAGAAATTATAAAGAATAAATAGGCGGCACACATGTGACCGCTAGGAATTTTTTGGGCGGTGAATGTGTTCATGGAAGGGAGGAAAACTAGACCGAAGTTAATGATATTGAAGCTGGCTGCAGTGGTTTAAGATCTTGCGATATTAATCTACCAATTTAATGTAATGTATAAGTATCTGTTTTAATTTTTTCCTGAATAAATGTTCCAAACAATTCTGTAATATTTTTTGGTGCAAAAATCGCTTAATGCTTTCTTTTTTCGTTATTTATTCAAAAACACAGCACTATTTTTTTAATACGTTAAAGGCTATTAGAGGTGTATATCGTCGGTCATCTCACGAAGTGACGTATCTAACAAAATTTTCAAAATTGAGTTACGCCGGTAAACAAGTTGTCTGTGCACCCACTTTGATCTCACGAAGCAGCGTATCTGTACCTCTTTTACTTGATGGTATAAGAGCATTTGATTTTTTGGCGTATCTTACAAAATAAGCATTTGTTTTCACACGAAAAGTCGTATAGTAAGTTACGTCTGTTCGTGTGAAATTTATATGTAAATATCAATGCCGACAATAGCGGCGTATCTATTGTTAACCTGTCAGATCTTGTTGAGTTGCGTCGTCTGTAACTCTGTAATGTAATTGTTTCAGTCAAGTACAGGGTCCGGCACTGAAACTTTCTTTTTTCAATAATACAAGGTGGCACAACTGGAGCTAGTTGCAGCGCGTAAGCGCGCTTAGCAGAGAGAGTTGGTGGGGAGGTTTGCTTGTTAATCGTCGTAGAGTTGTCAAATATAGGTACATCTCTGTATTACCGGTACCGAGTAATACTATAAAAAGTACCCGTTACTGTGTACCCGGTACCGGTATTCTAGGTAAGATTCGATTTAGGTCATTGCAACGTTGCAAGCCAGTATCGGTAAAATAAAAACACTGGTACCGGATAACCGGGGGAACCCAGACAGTGAGACAGCAGACATCGCTCGAATCGTGCGTCGCAATTAAAAATTTGCTGAATTTTAAATCTAATTGGGGTTATTGCAGAGTAAACGAATTTAGTATACTGATTGAAAAAAGTGATCGCTTCTCAGCTGACTTCAATATTAATGAATGTTATAGTGAAAACAATATTTTAAAATATTATGGCTCCTACACAAAAAAAAGTGCGATTTGGTTGCATTTTACCGAAATAATAAGTGGACAAAAAGCTAAATGCAATATATGCCGAAACGTTTATTCGTTTAAAGGAGGTACAACCGGTAATTTAAGGAAACATTTACGAATTAAACATCCTACAATTGTAATCGATGAAGAAACAGCTATACAAAAAGAGGAAAAGCAAGGTAAGACCAAAACTATATATAATGATCAGCCAATACAGGTATCTTCCGGAAATTTTAATATTAGGTGTAGGTTAACATCAAGATAAATAAGGCAAGAGCATGTTGGTTAATAAAACAAGACGTTTTTAACCAAACTAAACAAAAAATAGTTAGCTAAAAATGAAATAAAAACCATTCTTTAAACTGAAGTTTAAAAATCAAATAAAATTTTATATTTTGATAATTTGATGTTGAGTATGAATGTTAATAATTGATTTAAATATGCTTTACACAGTTGCCATTATCGACAATTTTTACTTATATTCACGTATTTTGAATAGATTTTTTATCTAGACTGATTTATTGGTATTCGCAAAAATAAATCCGTATTGACCCGTCACTATTGATAAAGATGAATCTAATAAATATGTACCTACCGATTTTTCACACTTATCGTCTAGGTGTGCGTGTACGTTATTTATAGTGGATTCCAAACAAAAACCGATGCACATCATCAGTCTTGAGCTGTGCATTGTTGCCAGACTTTGCACATGTTCTTTTAAGCAAATGAATCATTTAATGAAATAAATTTGGCATTTGTATACTTTCCACTACTTCACACTAAATGTTATTCTGAAAAGAACAATTTTTAGTTGCAAGGCAACGATTCAAAGCTTAAATAGCGTAAAACTCACAAATTAAACAATAAAGAACTAGTTCGACAAAAGGACAATGACAACTGATGTCAAATAAGACACGGCAACTTCACATTTCTCTGAACGGCGCACCAACCGAATCGAGAACAGGAAATTTAAAATTCAAGTAGAAATTTCACTTTGAATGTAGTAAATTGTTGGGGACCATGCTTTTTATGAATTGCATCACTAATGACGTGCATCGGATTTTGTTTGGTATCCACTATATATGCTCAACACCCATTTTTTTATTTTTAGCGTATGATACAGCCCCGTCCACGTCATCAGAACCAAAGGCAAATAATAGCGACAGCATATTAACAAAATCAGATGCAAGTCCTGTTCCTGTTAAAAGGCAAAAACAAATGAATTTCTCAAAGTTCAGAGCCCATCCACTAAGTCTGTCAAGGCAGAAAGAAATAAATGAGCTTGTTTTAAACATGATCGTCAAAGACATGCAGCCATTTTCCATCGTTAGGGATAAAGGTTTTTTAGAACTCCTAAAAGGACTTGAACCTAGTTATAACCCTCCAAGTCGAAACACTTTTGTAACAACACTCTTAGAAGACAAATATGCACGTGCAAAATGAACTTTGAAGCTTATTTTAGAACAAGCAGAATTCATTACTGTTACAACTGACGGTTGGACATCTTCCGCAAATGAAAATTATATATCTGTAACGGTCCATTTTATAACAAAAAAATTGGGAATTTGTGTCGGGTTTGTTGAGCTGTTTCAATTATTCCGAACGACATACAGCTCAAAATCTTTATGAACAACTTATGAACATTTTAACAGAGTGGGGAATATCAGAAAAAGTGGTTGCTATAGTAACAGATAACGCTGCTAATCAAGTGGCTGCAGTAAAATTGGGAAGTTGGGCACATATACCTTGTTTTGCTCATACATTAAATTTAGTAGTGCAAAATGGCCTTCAAGAAATTAAAGATATACGCCAGTTGTAGAATACTTCCACAGAAGTTCGCAGGCAAATTCAAAATTATTATCAACACAAACTAGGATGGATGCAAACAGCATTCCTTTAAAATTAAAAAAACGACGTGTCCACTAGGTGGAACTCTTCATATTATATGTTTGAGCGGTTTTTAAAGTTAGAAGAATCTCTTACTATAACCATTGGATTACTACACAATCCCGTACAATTATTGTCCAAAGAAGAGTGGAGCATTTTAAAAGAAATTTGTCAAGTGCTAAAACCATTTGAACAAATAACAACTGAAATGAGCTCAGAAACACACGTAACAGTTTCCAAAATTATTATCATTCTCCGAGGCTTGATCGCGATTTTAACAGGTTTCAAAGCGAAATGTCTTTCGATATTACCAAACGACTAATTGAGAATTTATTAGCGTCGTGTTTGACTCGTTTTGATAAATGCGAATATAATTTTTGGCAAAACCATCGATTTTAGACCCGCGATTTAAAATAAAGGCATTTTCACTTGAGCAAGCATATAAAAAAGCAAAGGACAAGTTACAGTAGCAATTATAAGAAAAAATGAAAGTGTTGCAGCCATAGATAGTGGTTTAGATGTTACTATTATACAAAGTTCCGAAGATGATCAAAGCTTAAATAATTTAGTTTGGCATGAATTTGATTTATCGACGTCCACCATTGAAAAGTCAAGTCCACTGGCTACTGCAATAGCAGAAATACGAATGTATTTGGAAGAACCAAATATATCTAGAACAGAAAACCCATTGTTGTGGTGGAAGTCCAGGAAACTACTCTATCCCACCCTTGCCCCATTGGCAAAAAAATACTTGAGTATGGTAGCAACATCTGTTCCCAGTGAACGCGTCTTTTTGAAAGCTGGTCAGTTGATAACAGAAAGGCGTAATCGATTGAAATCGAAACATGTAGAAAAACTTATGTTCCTTAATTACAATCAACTACTAATAAATAAGTGAAGTGTTTAGATGTTTAGACTAGTTATTTACTTTTGAATTAGATTTTGTAAACTTATCTTTCTGTTTTTTATAATATATATATATATATATATACAGGGTGACTTTGAAGTTGAGTCATTAATTTTCAGATAATGATTGTAGAAGGAAGATAAACCAAAATATGTGTGTAAAAATAAAAAAAATTAAAAAAAATTTTTACCTTGTTTTATAAAGTATCCTCCCGACAAGTATTTCAGTGCGGACCTGTATTTGATCGTGAGGTCCCCTCTGAGGTCTTAAGTCACCTGATTCACGAGCCCGTTGTACTACATTAACAAAGGCACGAGGGGTTGGTTGCACTCGATTGGGAAACCGATCCGCATAAACATGTGCCATTTTTTATTTCGTTTGAGCCACGCAACAGATACCACCATTCACTGACACTGATTGTATACAAATGAATGAGATACTTGTAAAAACATCGTTCCAAATTCTTTCGCTTTTTTGTTTCCGATGCGATGAACCGATACGGCGGATTATATCCGTTGTCGCCAAACACGACCACATAATATTGTTATTGAGACAGGGCGGTACTCAAACTTCCAAAGGGCTATAACTTTGTTACTTTAATTTTACCAGGAAAATGGTAAAGGAAAAAAACATTTCTTTTGTTGTGTTCTCACTGTTAAAATAAATGACTCAACTTCGAAGTCACCCTGTATATATATATATATATTTTTCTCTTATATATATGGTCTATATTTTAATTATTTATTTGTTTTCATAGAGGTTCTCATAAATAACATTTTGAGTTCCGCACATATTAAGTAGCAGCACGACAAACGACAACACCGCCTGCTCCCATCCGCCCGATCCTGCTTATCTGCGTATGCGTAGTGCGTACGCAATGATGTATTCCTCATTTCTTTCCCACATTCTACAGCGCTACTAAATATCGATACCCAGTACCGATATCGTTTACCAATATCAATACCGATGTGATCGACGGCAACTGCAAACCTAAATTAATAAATACATAATAGGTACAAAAGTGACGGATACTTTTTTTACCGAATACCCAGGTACCGACTACTTGACCGAGTACCGGATATTTAATACCGGGTAGTTAGAATATTGACATCACTAAATCGTCGTCAGTCGTAAAAATGCTTTGGGCGAGAGAGCAACGCGCGTTCGCCGTTGAGACCTACTTTTCACGAGGCCGGTCGATCATCGCGGTGCAGCGTGCGTTCCGTTTAAGCCTTGTCCAGGAAGGGCGAATTCGCCGCGAAACGTTTAGCGCGAAATCATTCGCGCGTTAGTGAGATACTTGACATCAATACGTCGCGTCCATAAGCATCGCGCGAATTCAAAATACGCGCGTAAATCGCGTGCACTACGCCATACAATACGCGCGAGTCGAGATACTAGGGAACGCCTTGTTGCGTCCAGTTAACGCACGAACTCTAGAGCGAGTGCACGTATCGAGGGAAATGGAGCGCCAAAATTTTGACACGGAATTGTTTATAGACGAAATAGAAAAAAGACTAGCGATATGGGATTTGGAATCACCTGATTATGCCAACAGGATTTTAAAACGTAGGTCTTGGGAAGAACTGGTGTCAGTATTTTCTGATAAAGATGACTCCGAGGAAAAAAATAAAGATTTAGGTACGTAATTATTATTAATTTATTGATTAGTAACAAACAAAGAAAATTAGATCATTTTTTCTTGCCACGGCAGTCGACCTTCCTTCATGAAATAATCAGCGAATATATCCCTCGTGTTTCGAGACCTTACACCAGGTCGAATTGTAGTCGTACTCAGACTATCTAGAGCTGTTTCGAACAATGTGTCTTCGTATCTGTATCCATCTCTTAACCTGACGTAATTGTGAAGAACACAACAAGCTTTACTTATGTTTTCCGCAAATGCAATATGTACATTGAGTGGTTTGTGAAATATTCTCCATTTGTTTACCAGGATTCCAAAACAACACTCAATATAACGTGTTGCTCTAGAGAGGCGGTAATTAAATATTCGTTTTTCTTTGGTTAAATTCTTGCCGCAATATGGTCGCATAATATGTTCTGATAAGCTAAATGCCTCATCTCCAACTATAACATGAGGTAAACGTGTTGTACGAATTTCTGAGACTGGTTTTGGTCCCGGAATGTTCAAAGATTTTTCCGTGAGTTTTTGAAGAATGTGGAGTTTTTAAAAATCGTTGAATCATTGCTCTTCCCACATGCTCCAACATCTATAGAGATAAAACAATAATTTGCATCACATACGGCAAGCAGCACAGTCGAAAAAAAATGTTTATAATTGTAGAACATAGAGCCGGAATCTAAAGGTTTTATAATTCTAATATGTTTCCCATCAACTGCTCCAATGCAATTAGGAAAATGTGTATATTTTTCGAGTCCTCTTGCAATTTCCATCCACTCTTCTGTCGAAGGTTCTTTCATTACTATATCTTTTAACTTATTCCAAATAACATACACAGTTTTTTTAACGATGTCAATTACAGTTGATTTTCCTAATCTATAGGCATAATGTAAGTCAGCAAAATAACAGCCAGTTGTTAAGTACCTGAAACAAAATTGAAAATTATTGTGAAATTGTTAATTTCAGGTAATACTCTTCAAAAAAAGTGGAAAGGCCTTCGCGACACATTTGTTCGTGAAATGAAAAAAACAAAGAATGCACCATCAGGCTCTGGAGCTTCGAAGATTCAATATATATATTTTCAACGTCTTATGTTTCTCGAAAGGTCAGTACGTAATAAAAAAACAGAAAGCAATATTCAAGACACCTCAGAAAACTCAGAGATAGGTTACGAAGAGTCTACAGCAGATGCAAGGGAAGACATAATGAGGCCGCCGAATCAAAATATTAAAAGAAAGATAATGACTGCCGCTGATGCTGAATTCCTGAACATAATTAACAAAAATACGAGTATAAACTCTAGGAATCAACAACAGCCACTGCTTTCCAGCGTAATGGAAGGTGATGATGACAAACTGTTCTGCTTATCTTTACACAAAGAATTATTTAAGGTACCTGAGGCCAATCGTATAGCAGTAAAAATTGAATTAATGAAAATTTTGCAAGCGGCTCAACAATCTTCGCAATCAACTGTGTATTCAAACAATTCGTATTCGTACTTTTCTAACAGTTCATCTTCAACTTCAATTCCGGTTCGATACCATGCACAACCTACAAGACCAAATGAATTTACTTTTCAAGAATACGACCCAGAAACGCCACCCGTAACAACTTGGCAAGGCCGCAATTCTAATTCAGTGCCAGGATCTTCACAGGCAGCATTATACGTAAATTCTCCATCAACATCATCAAGAGATTCTCAGGATAGTGAATGTCTTAATCTCTTCCAAAACCGTGACATTGTTTAATTATTATATTTAATCTCATACTACATTTAGTTCGTTGTTATTAGTAAGAATATTTTTTTATTTTAAAAGACTGTGTTAGTAATATAAGAGATTATGAATAAAACACTACTTACCTTAAAGTTATCACGAGTTTCTGTTCTGGTGAAACAACATCCTCGCGCGGAACATAATTTGCACGTGGCAATAAATCTTCTCCAATTAATAAGAGTAAATCATCAAACGATTTCGCGGACATACGAAAGTAGTTAAAAAATGTCTTCTCATGTTGTCTTAATTTTGGATACAAAGTTTCAAACATACTATGGGTCATTCTATCATGAAGAATTGGATGTACTAAATACATTCTATTTTCACTCCGTTTCTGTCTCTTCCAGCGACGGTAAGCTAACCACAACGAGACCGCTTCGTTCAACTCCATGTTTCGTACTGAATTCCTCCCTGAATGCTTGCGCGTTGGTACGCTATGTGTGGACGCCACGGTAGCGCGAAACACGCGCGAGAGAATCGCGGCGAATTCGCCCTTCCTGGACAAGGCCTTACGGTACAATATTCCCCCTAGAGGTGCTGTTCCGGCCCGGGGATCCATTTTATCATGGGTGGAGGCTTTTAGAGCAGTTGGAAATGTGTCCCGCAAGAGACCAGGAGCAACACGAACAGTTAGAACACCCGCAAATATCGAGGCAGTCCGACAGTCGGTTTTGCGATCTCCTAGCACCTTAAGTGCTGACGACGCCAAATGGCGTGATGCACATAGTACGTGCGGGGCTAACGACGCCGTTTGGCGGCACCGACATTGCTGAATTAAATGCTTTAGTACGCGGTTAGCTTCTGAGCGAAGGTGTTGTGCGGTCGTTAGCCTGTAGTATACGAGACATTTACCCAAAAAATTTTGTCAGTTTGGGTTCAACATGGACGGAAGTCAGGCGGGCCCTTCGGGAATAAAAAAACGTCGTAAAGTCGAAAAAACGTCTCGCGATAGGTACCCTTTGACAGATGAACAATTATTGCATTATTTAATGGATTCTGATGATGATGTTGCGGATCCAGACTACTCGGACTCAAATTTTAATTCAGATACAGAGGACGAAGACAGTGATATGGAAGAATTGAATATTCCAGGTTATCCAAGGGATGATCTGAGGCCTGCTCTCCCCGTAATGTGGGACTCAGTAGAGGACGTCCCAATTGCTATTCCATTTTCTAAGCAAAGAGAGCTTTTAATCCAACCTGATGGTAAGTTTTTATTTTGAATTCATTGGGTCATTTTTTCCTAAAGTCATGTTTTATTTCAAGGAAACGCTCCTATTGATTTCTTCAACCTGTTGGTGACTAACGACCTTCTTCAAATGATTGTTAGAGAAACCAACGCTTATGCTGAAGAAGTTTTTTTATCGGATACAACGAAAGAAAAATCACGTATAACATGTTGGAAAGATGTGACTCTGGATGAAATGAGAATTTTTATTGCATTGGTCATTCATATAGGCTCCATTAGACTAAATCGCCTCCAAGATTATTGGAAAACACATTGGTTATATATATAACCGATTTATGCTTATTTTTAGATGTCTGCATTTTGCAAGAAACCCTTTACCTGGTCA